CGAGGTTCTCCTCAAAGCTTCTGGTTCATTTGAATACCCGAAGGTGTGTGTGAACACTTACATGTTTCTTCAAAGAAGCATACTTCAAGTATTTGATAACCAGAACGTTCCAACCAAAGTATTAATTTTGATGTCAGAACTTAGTAAGATTACTAAAATATAAGCTGACCAAGAACATGAGGAGATATTTACCACTGTATATTGTTAAATTGGCAATGTAAATAATCTTGCAATATTTTTCAGCATTAAATTATTTTAAATCCCAATTTGTTTGTCAATTGAATTTCTTCGAGCAGGTAAAGGCTTTTATCTAAGACTAAACGTGCTAAATATTAAATAAGAAGTGTTGGTGTTAATTTTATTCTTTGTAGTGACTAGATTTACACTACTTTGGTGTCCAATTAATGGAAGCTAGTGAAACATTTGCACCATATTGGTGTTAAGAAACACTTGCTGGTGTAATTTTACACTTCGAAAAGTCAATTTACACCAGTTTGGTGTACGGATGGAGGCAAGCAATTTACACCTTCCTGGTGTAAATAAACACTAGCTGGTGTAATTTTGCACTTCGAAAAGTCAATTTACACCAGTTTGGTGTACGGATGGAGGCAAGCAACTTACACCTTCTTGGTGTAAATAAACACTTGCTGGTGTAATTTTACACTTCGAAAATTCAATTTACACCAGTTTGGTGTACGAATAGAGGCAAGCAATTTACACCATCTTTGGATAAAAAAACACTTCTTGGTGCATAAAAACAATTTTCCCGGTGTTAATTTACACCAAATTAAGGTAAAATTAACATCATTTTAAGTGTTTTTTTACACCTTTTTGGTGTACGGATGGAGGCAAAGATTTACACTAATTTTGGTGTTGGGTGAACACTCGAAATTTAGAGTGACTATAGTCACTTATTAACTTTTAAGCGCTTGGAATTGCCCAAGGTAACGACGAGGAGCTTCGGCAGCTCTGTACATCTACCACTTCCTCCAACCTGGAACGATATTCTTCTTTGTCGGAGAGCTGCCAAGGTGTCTGAAATCTCTTATCACGAAGTATGCGGCGCAATATTTTCTTTAGGTTACATTCGATGTCCCATCTATAGCTTGGCATTAAGGAATCCTGCAGTCATTTAGTTGGCAACCGCTATGCCTTGCCTATTTTAAAATGAAGACATACTAGCTGGACTTGGCCTTCAGTGACTGCCGACAATCTAAGGTACTTAAGCATGCCAAAATCCCAATAGAAACGTTTAAACTACTAGGCTCGAGTATTCCTGACTATGTTTTTGCTCTTTGCCATCGTTAAAAGGCTACATTTATCTCTTCATGCAGAGTCTTTCGCCTTGTGCATTGTTCTCTAGTAAAGTTGCTCGTTTTGGCATTCCAACAACAATTACCTCCGATTAAGGGCAATGGTTTAGATCCCACCTGTGGAGGTCACTAAAAAACTTCTTTGGTACAACGCTGAATTACACACAAGCTTATTATCCCCGTGCAAATGGTGTCGTAGGAGGTTTCCGTACATTGGAAGTGGGGCTTAATTAAAGCTCGGTTATATAAGTGATCGTATAACTGGGAAATTAAACTTCTTGTGGTTCTGTTTGGAATACGATGTGCATTTAAGGAAGAATTTTTGTGCACTTTAACTGAAATAATGTAATAAATCACTCCGAGGAAGATGATTCTACATTGCTTGTTACACTAGGGATAGAAAACACAACATTTTTTTTATTTGCATCTAATTTTTGGATTGACGCGAATTGACCATATCATGGTCCGTACGCTTATTACTTATTTGTAGGTCAAACAACCCCTTGAACGTAAATAGGAAGATAAAAACATTCTGCGGACCGCTAAAACCCGCTAAGTCAGACAACAAGGTCTTCGATTATCCCCGGCAACTCGTACTTTATTTCATTAGATATTTCACATTTATTTCATTTTATTCTTTCATTACATATCAAATAAACATCGCAATCGAGATTAACTCTCGTTCAATTAGATCTGGACTTGGGAAAGATCAAAGTCCATACACGCTTACAAATGTACTATACTGGATTAAAGGTAATACACAAAGAAAGTATAGATATATACATGCAAAATAAATGTATTGATTTTAATAGGAATAAGTAAAATTTTCAACATTCAAAACTTAATTAATAATTCTGCCATATCAAATTTCGGAATACTGTAATTATTGTTTACAGTTAAGAATATCGTCACTATACGGGTATTGAGCAGTAAGAAATAATATTATCTATCTATTTCAAACATCTGACATTTCTCCCATATAGTTGTCCAACGTAAATTCTATTGGATTTAGCGTAAACACGAGTAGCCCATGTTAGTACTGTCCACTAACATATTTATCCAGTACGTGTAAAATTACATAATTAACACAAAATGTATTCCACTTACCTAGCAGAAATTTGAGTTGTGAGTTGTCCAGTAACCTCAATAATCAGAACAACATTACTTCCTTCAACGACTGTCATCCTCGATGGGTTGCTAAAACCGATTAGCAGCAAAATAACTGGAAGTAAATGAGTTATTTTTAAGTTTCATTGTAATCATACAGTATATGTATATATATATATATATATATATATATATATATATATATATATATATATATATATATATATATATATATATATATATATATATATATTATACATTAACCCGCACTTAACCAATCAGTAATCGTTGATAGGGTCACGTGCCGATACAATATTTTACGATATTGGACAGGAACCTATTGGACAGTTGCGAATCGTGGCTTTTTTCATGGTTTTTCAACCCTTTTCAGAAGTTTTGTCAATTGCAAACATACGACTAGCGATATGGCAGACTAATGAAAAGAATTTGAGATATTAATTCAGTTTTTTCTACAAGTTTTGTTCAAAAATATAAAAGCGCGGAAGAACTTGTCTTCGCGAAATTCATTTGTTTGCAACAGCCTCGAGGTAAGTAATGTTATTTTTTCGTTCAAATTAGGTCAAATTTCCTTTAAACAAACATGGAATTGAGTCTATTTATGGACACATATTAGCAGAAACAAGTTTATTAACTTTTTGTTTAGTTATTTAAGCAAATTCGCCACCGATAAATGTAGTTGTAATGTTGTCGCTGTATTATTCATGCTGCATTACTTTATCGCTTATTGACAATTTTTTCTTATAGAATTCTTTTGTTCGATGTAATAAAACTCTTATTGGATTAATCTTCGCTCGACCACATACTTGTACCTTCATCAGGTAGGAAGCAGCGGGACATAAAAACGATATCGTCCCGGATATCGTTTTTTGTCCCGAATATCGTTTTTTGTCCCGGATATCGTTTTTTGGCCCGCTAAATTTCGCGCCTTGTCAAAACAAAGATGGCCGACTCGAGGTTCGTGTTGGTGGATGTCGACAGTTTATCGAAGAAAACAAGAACGATAATACAAAACAAAAGACTTAAATTGTATATTATTTATATGAATGGTCTATTTATTTTCTAAAATCATATTTGTTCAGTAAATGATGAATTGTTTTGAATTCTAAAATGATCCTATTTTTTCAAAACTGTTTACTTTTGGGTGTCAAACCCTGATAAAGGTACAAGTATATAATAAATATAATATATATAATAAATAATATATATAAATAGGTTATCGTACTCGGGATTCGGTGATATCAGTTTTATCGCCTTCGGGACGATATCACAATTGTCCGTCGCTCGCTGCGCTCGTTCGTGACAATTGTGATATCATCCCTCGAGCGATAAAACTGATATCACCTCATCCCTTATATGATATATATATATATATATAGGTTATCATATAAGGGATGAGGTGATATCGGTTTTATCGCTCGAGGGATGATATCACAATTATCACGAGCGAGCGAGGGACAATTGTGATATCGTCCCGAGCGCGATAAAACTGATATCGCCGAATCCCGAGTACGATAACCTATTTATATATATATAGACAACCAGCTGCAGGCAGATATGAACCATTTTTCAATTTTCAATATGACGGCCGCCTATACAACAAATATTTATTAAATATTTATTTGAATTATTGTTTTGCAAACTTTCTGGAAAACGTACACGTTCAATTTTTTAATCAGCTACTACGAAACGACGACGAAACACATGCAGTGTTTATGATGTTTTGCAACTAAAAGAAGATTCGGGTTGATGAACAAAATTATGCAGCCACAATGATTATTCACTGGTGTTTCCTACAAACCAAAACATGTCGTGATAATAGCGTGTATACTGAGGAAAGATATATTTACGATATCTGAATGTCTGCACAACGACCAACAATACATTTTTGCTCACTCCGTGACCAAAGCCGAAAGGTCGCAATTTATTTATGACAAATATAGATTTTTTTATACTGCATGTATGTTAATTTAAATGAATACGTGAAGATATCATGCGTCCACTAGTTTAGCTTAAGAGTATTGTGGTATATAATTAAGCTTTTTTTGCACCAACGTATTTGTAATTATAGTTAATTAATAGAAGGCATTATTAAATACAATGTATTTAGGATCTTTTTCATCATATGATGTGGACAATAATCGAGTAATCAGAGACCAACAGCGCTTGACTGAACTCTCAACAACTTCTGGGAAATGCCGATCGATATGTCTTTTGGGGGGGATGAGCGAAACAGTTTTGCCCGTTAACTGAATAATGCTCTCAACTGGAAACTCCACTTTGTCCCTCTATTTTTACCTAAATGCCGTTCCTTTGCAGTCATTATAAATACAGGAACAAATTGCATGGAGCCTCCCGTTGGTATCAAATTCTAAACGTTATTGGATAAAAGGGAGATAAACTTTATCCAGACTTTTCTATTGGAGGGGTGTTCCACCTCTCCGCTCCCAGTCGGCATGATCCTGAACAACCCAAGTGTTCAATCACTTGATTAAGAAAGCCAAATCTTAAAATACATTTTCTATTTAAAATGTTATCAAAATTAATACAAGTTTTTTCTTTCTGATAATAAAATTTCAATTAGCAAGAAAAATATTGAAACGTTTCTGATTAGTCCTTTGTAAATTGGCTGATCCAACATTGCTAGTATAGCTTACCACGACAATGTAATGCAATTGGAGCATAAGAGCTAAACATAATCGAAAATTTATTCCCATGTTTTAAATTTGAACGGCTGCCTATATTTGGAAAACGGAGGGCGCATACAACTTTTTAATTTGAAATTATCTCAAATGAATATTTCCCTTGTATATAAGTTATATTGTGTTCCCGTAGACTATAGCCATTATTGTGGTGGTCTCTGCTACTCTTTATTTTTTCATGCTCGAATATTTCTTTTGTTCTTAACTATACGGAAAATACACTCCTATTGATTGGTTTGAACGTTTTGGAAGTGTTTTTTTTTTTTTGAACGTTTTGGAAGTGTTTGTTTGCCGTAAATACGGCAAACAATCTCTTATACTTTGCCATTACAGTTGATTCAGCCTTTCATATTCGCGGACAATTTTAAACTTCGAAACATTAGTAGTATAGGGAAGAGGGGTTCTGAAACGGGTGGTGCTCTAAGCACCACCGATGAGGTCGGCATGACGTCATTTCGTATTGTTCATATGCAGTTATAATCTAATTAAACGAGCGTGGACCACAATTATGTTCCGTTTTAACAACAATTTAACCGCTCACTATTTTACTAATGTAATATGACGTCTTTTTTTGTTAAAAATTACCCTGAGGGCCTTTTATATGGTTTGGTGGCCCGATTCTCTAAATACGCCCCCAATTGTCAAAAACTAGCTCATTCCACACAACTACAACCGCCATCCCCCATCATAAACTGTAAACACTACTGCTCAGTTTCTTCAAAGTTACCCAAAACATGAAGGACAACAGACATTGAGTATAAAAAAGTGTATTTAAAAATTATCATACTACAAGTTTTTATCAGATTATCTTAGAGAGTCTACGGTTTTAATGTCTAACTATTTGTTAATTTTATAATGGCCGTGAGCTAATGTAGTAACACCGTCTTCTTAAATAAAACGTTTATCATCATATGGACTTAAAGCAATCTTATTTATTTTGATGGAGTAGATCTCATGACCATGACTTTGAATCTGATTCATGGATGCTTTCGTCTGCTTCTTATCGAATAACGAGGTTTTATAAATATCATGCCGTGTCTTCTTCGTCACCGATTTCTTTATTCCTTTAGCTGTCTTCTTCTCCACCAGCTTTCTGTTTTCAGTGTATTGGATGGAGTACATCTTTGGCCTCAAACCAACATATTCTTCAATTGCAATTCCATGCGTCTCATCTTTCATCTTACCGAGAACTTTCTTGTTTCTTAAACTGTGAAGATGATGGTGTAGTGCATATTCAGATGTGTCAAATAGCTCTGCGTCCTCCAGCATGTCTTGGTAGATATCACCGTTCTTCACTTCATAGCATAGACTGTCCGTATCCGTGAAAATTATCTTAGCCTTAGTACCATACTTCTGTTTCATATATTCATAGTGAAACTTATACATCAACACCTTTGAAAGATCTAGGATTGTAAATCCTGCGTAAATAGGACGGTTTAGGTACAGCTTCGTCTTCTTCAAATTCACGGATCTAGATCCTCCGAAAATATGCGGAAAGATTCAAACGATGGACTAGCAGTTAGTTTTGTCAGTTTTGTTTTATCATTAACCAACTTGACATTGACTCACTTTCTCAGGTACTCCATAGTCTTTCCAACCCCGCATTATTCATCAGCTTGTTAAAATCTTTCTCAAAGTCATTCGCAGCATGCTTTCTTCTTTCTGTGTTGAAATTAATATAGGTCTTAAGCCATGGACTTTGTTGAAACACCAAGACTCTATAGATTCTTGTCAACTCCATACCCAATGCTAGATATAACTTCAGATGACGGTAGTGTACAATATAGTTATTCTTATCATTGAGGTTGGGTACTAGTTTGGGGACTGCGACACTTCCGAGCTTTAAATCTTCTGAGAGTTGTTACCAATAGGGTGATAACATTTCCGGTATAATCTTCATCTGATTGTATTTTGAATCCAATGTTGGTACCGGTACTCTAATTAATAAAAAAACAAAATGATATCATTTAATTACCAGATCACTGTTCATGTGGTGGCTTCATAACTCCTTTTGAAATGCCATGATAGTAAATAAGTGGGTCCAATTGGTCAATCAGCTGCTGCTTTTCACAATTCCTCATGTATGCACTTTCTTCTGCTTCTTTGGATTGATTGAGGCTCCTCCGATCTTCTTCAACAACCTGCAGACATATTGAAGAGTGATAATGTAAATTTTTTGAAAATAACCGCATACCTACTGTAGCTTATTCCAGAGTTTTTATTACCATGACACTGTAGCTCATATACTTTACTCAGTAGTCAGTGGTATAACTTTACTTTTTTGATCATTTGTCATCAGGGCAAGTTCAACTTGCCAAGTTGGATATGAAAATTAGTTGCCGTGAATAAAATTCACTTGCCATGAGACAATGGCCACTGGGGTACCCAGGTAGAGGCTATAAATTAAGGGGACAACATGTCGAC